TACACTGATACAAATGTACACTACATGCATACGTCACGTCGTTGACTTTGGTCCGTTTTAAGCCCTAACTTTTCATGGCGGTCGTGAGCTAGACTGCTGTACCTCCCCTAATTTTTTTCCACCTCCCCCACTATTTCCACCAAAAGCCGGCCTTGAGACAAACACAGATATACAGACGCCGAGACACACACATACAAACGCCGATGAAAACATAATCTTCTGGCGGAGTTCATTACCGTACCTCTAGAGAATGGACCATCAGTAGCACTGGAGGGACGAGCCTAGGAAATAATATAATAATGAAACAACTGCTAATTCGGCTCAGTGGCGTAACTACTATGGGCTCGGACCGGGCGAACCAGGGGGCCCCCAACCCCAATGGGCCAAATGCCCCCCCCCCCTCCTAGCTCAGGCTGTAGAGCAAAAACATTGGCCAGGGCCTCTGGTATGACACAATGTCGTTATCTGACCATCAGAATTCTGTAAAATCTCTCCCCAAAGTCCGGGAAATGGCATTACAGAGAGTCTAGATTCAAACATTTTTCCGGGTATACTGGATAGCTCTATCAGTTCTAAACTGTTCTTCCTAGGAAACGCGTGCATATACGGCGATCAACTCGTGCCTTTTGCACTTCTACTAGGGGGGCATTCGAAAATTTTGAACCGGGGGCCCCTTGATGTAACGTTACGCCACTGATTCGGCTCAATGTCTGAGTCTAATGAAACGAACTGCTACTTCTGAAACAACTGCTAATTCGGCTCAGTCTCAAATTACTAATGACAATTTAAAGAAAATTTGGATCCGTCTACCTTATCTGGGCACTCAAGGTGAAAACATTATTTATTTATTTATTTATTTATCATGCTTGTCAATTTCGCATAAACTGCACAAATACAAATACAAACACAAGAATGTACAACCTATCAATCATAGCAGGGTATATGCTACAGCTTACGCCAATTACAGCAGCCCTTACAAAACGAACGGGACACATTCTTCATTAGATCTTTAGTAATATAAAAAGGCCAATTTGCACCCAGAAAAAAAACCCCACAGGATAGGAACGGAAAGTTACATAGTGCTAAAGTCGTTAGTTCCAACGCCGTCTGCTCCTGCGGAAAATTTTGCTGAGTGGAAATTAGCCGACAATGAAGCTTAACAAGACGAACACAGGGACACACATTAGAATTAATAACAACACGAATTTGAACAAGACAAATTACTGGACTTGTTACAAGACAAACATTCCATGTTCTAGGATTTTCTGTGTCGTAAATGTTCAGAGCCGATTTGTAATATTCATAGAGATCGCTTTTGAAACGACCTAAGCTTATGTTCTTTGTTGTCAACTCTTTTGGCAGAACATTCCCTACTCTCACACACCTGGATATAAACGATCTCTGGAATGTTGCAGTCCTACACTTCGGCTCTGAATTAATGGTACAGTAGAACGTTGCCATTGATGTTTTTCATCCCATTTATACATTTAAAGTAAAACACCAGATCGAGGATTCGTGCCAATAGCAGAGCGGAATGAGGTCTAACAGTTCGAGTCTCTTACTGTAGCTAACATCGCAGGATGAATGGTAGATCCAAATAAACTTGCTCGCGCGAGATTATAAAATCATGCATGAGGAAACTGCATCGATATTTCACAACACCTGTCAAATTTGTAATAATCTATGACAAGAAAAGATCTCATTTTTCACATCTAATAAAGACAAGATTCCTTCCCTATCTCGCTTTAACGCCATCTACCAAATTACTTGCCCTGGTTGTGGCAAGTCCTACATTGGTAAAACTGAGAGACACGACTCGACGAACATGCCACACAACATGACACCAGCGCAGTAGCTCAACACTTTTTACAATGTCAAGAATCACAACACATGATGACTAAAAACAAAACTGGACTCACTGATAAAACACTTTCTGCCACATAACCGACCTTGTATTTGGCAATCACAAAATTCTTTACTCAAATACAGCATTAAACAAAAACCGTCTTTCGGCTACTAGAAGCAAGCCTTCATAAAATCCCTCAAACCAGAACTAAACTCTGGACTCAAAGTCAGTAAAGATCTCGCACTATTTGACTCGACACAGCGTCTTGTTACTTTCCATCTCTTCAATCACACTAACACTTCCGCACCCACACGCGTGCATATACTGTATGTATAGACCTACAGTAGGTTAGCTTGTGCAAATTAGTCTGATGATGACTTTGCAATAATTCGAAATATCACTGTTGAATATTGTGCCCTCTACTTTAATATTAAGTTTCAAGATGGAACTGATATTCGGAGTTTGCTTCCTACTTTATTTAATAATTCGTGTTTCCTAAGATATACATTATGTTATGTACAATGTTGTACATTTTAAATAAGTAATGGTTTTGTATTGACTACTATATACCTTAGACTTCCTTTGAATCTGTGGTGAAGCCATCCAGTTAGCTCGCGAATTTTCTGAACTGAGACCTATATATAAGAATGTAATTAATGTATGTGGGTGTCTAGCATAGTCTTGATAACCAGTGCTGTAAAGTCATATACGTTTTTACAATTACAAAGTTACTTTAAAAAATTTTGAGCAAAAAATTGAACCACAACTGTGCGTGGTCGAAATTTGGGATAAAACAGCGATTTAGTAAGTTGGACATCGCCAAAAGTAACGGCTGTCTCGAGGCCAGAATGTAACTAGTTAGCTACTATTACTTTTTATCAATTTTTGTAACTAGTAATAGTTACAAGTTACCATCCCAAAAAAGTAACTAGTAGTTACAGTTACTCAAAAAATGTAACAATTACATGTAACTTGCTACTTGTATAACCAGGGCCTATCAGAGAAATTCGGGGGCCCGGGGCAAATGTTTGTTTCGGGGCCCCTATTTTCCAAAAAATTTGGGAGGGGGGGGGGGCGAGGTGGATGTGAAAAAATGGTGGAGGTGAAAAAAAAATTTCCAGACATTAAAAAATAGGGTCGAAACATTTTTCTGCTCAAACATCAGTAAAACTTTAGTTCAAAAATTTTTTTCCAGACAAATTCGTGTTACAACATGGGACAAACCATTTTTTTGGATCAATATATGTAAAATTTTGGTTCAGAAAATTTTTCATCATATCATTATTTATATAAAAAAAGTTCGAAATTATTATTTTTTATTTTGTAATTTGGAAGCCCTTACACTGGGGCCCTTACCCTTTTTTTTGGCCTTAGCTTAGTTTAGTATACATGTATAAAAACGTTTTACATTTGCTGTCATTGGCGAACACCTTTTACAGCGAACTAAAGTGAAATTTGACAAAAACTGCTCTGTTTTCCACTTTTAAGATACTATTAGACAAGTCTAATATCTAAAAATATGTTGCTTGTGTTTTATTTTTATCAAAAATTGTTTACGTACTATTTAAAACACGAGCAGCAGTGTTTTATACTGAGGCAAAGCAGAGTATCTTTAGGTCTGATAAAACACGCACTGCGAATGTTTTAAATTGCTTCAAAAACGATCGATCTAGTAAGTTCATTGGCGCGAAGTAATTTAACTAATTTTCAAAAAATGCGTTGTGTAAGTCGAGAAAATCAAAGTTATAAAGTTTATGTAAATCAAGGGAAATGTCTATCACATATAAAGATTAGACACGCTTATGATTTAATGACTTTTCTTTGTGTTTTCCTCATGAATTATTAATGGTTTTTGAAAGAAATTTTAAATCCTGCGTTTTTACACTGTAAATGTTCAAATAGTGTTGTAAACAACATAATAAATATTGTTTTTTCGAAGAATGCTCTTGTTTTTTTGCCCTATAATAAATGACTTACAGTAGCGTAGCCAGCCCGACTATTTAGTCCCGCTATGCAAATATTTTCGTGTTCATTGACTGTGAAAACAATCAATTTCTAAAGAAATGAATAATGATAATAATTTTGAATTTGCATAGCGGGACTGAATTGTCGGGCTGGCTACGCCACTGATGACTTATTGACTGAGTCACTGAGCATGTTCGGTTTGGACAGTAAGATATTTCTTTTGGGGTTTTTTTCTCGTTTGAATATGGACCGACCTGTACGTGAGGAGAATCCGACTAATACCTGCAGTCTGAATGCAATTGAGCTACAAAGGGGATCAATATGATGATAACATTAATCCTGTTTCAACAGTCAAAAAAACTTAAGCCACACATTAGACAGTTGCAGAAGAATCACGGGCTAGTCGAAATACAACATCTTCGCTATTTTGTCAGAAGATTTTTCTGGCTTAGGCCCTGAAAAGAGGCTTTAAAAAGGGTCAAATTTCAGCCATGATATTTTCTGAGAATCAAATCTGATTTTAACTATTCTTTTACGATATAAACTTGAGATAACGAGCTCCAATATGACTGAACTTGTAGGTGTTGGCAGTAAGTCGACAGAAGATATAATCCATATTTGAAATGTTGTCAACATCGAAGTGATCAAAAGAACGTGCATTATCGATAATAACCTCTCTCTGGCAGCAGAATTTTTGCTAATTTAAAATGCAAATTAAATCCGTGCTCAGAGTGATATTGTTTGAGACACTAAAGAGATTGAGAAAGATGACCACAGGAATTAGGCATATTAAAATCTACTTTTTTTTCCATTTTCACAAAAAAACATGCTCGCCCAAGACTACTTCCGCATTACACTCCGATCAGCGCGTGCACTCGTTGCACTGCCCGCCCTGCACTCATGGGCGTACCGGAAGGAAAAAATTAGGGGGCGGAAAGAAATTTGCCCGACTTGTCCGGATTGTGCCCGACCAGTACCGAAAATTTTTTTTTATACAGACATACCAAAATGTTTCTGAACATCACACAAATTTTCGAAAAATCACAAAATTTACCTCAAAATTGACAGAATTGTCCCATTTATTTTTATAATAAAGCAAAATTGCCCGACTGTTGAGCGGATATACCCAACTGCCCAACAAACTGGGGGGCTGCGCTACCCAAACCAAAGAGCTGCCCCAAGCCCGGTATGCCCATGCCTGCACTGCCCTATATATAAGAGGCCTGGTTCGGACCTCTCTCTCAGTTAATAATATAATTATACGTATTATCGCCCAGACAGTACTGTACCTGTGAAACCATTTCTAATGGCTGTGGACCAAGCTTCATGGCCGGTTCTTCTAGGACCAGATTTTGTACTTTGCCCTCCCAAGGACTGAGATAAGTAAGGTGAATGATCTATTATTAAATATCATTGAATCAAACATTTGAGAAAACATAACTTTGACATTAATTTTAACACAATTTTAAGAATTTTTTTCAAGGCAAAATAATAAAGCACTTATATGTGAGTACATACCCCTGCCTTTGGACTTCTTCACCCGTTTGGGTTTTTCTGTTAAAAAGAATATTTTCAAAAATAAAATACCATTAATAGCATGTTAAAGCCAAGAAGAAGAATGGTAAGCATAGATATCTTATATACACTAGATAGTGCATCTAATTATTCTGCAATTCAAAAATTGAAGCCGTGATTGCAGTCTCAGGTCGTTCCCATGAAATGAGAAGACTCGTATGTTTTCTATTTCTTAAACAGGGAACTTAACCATTAAGTTAACCCTATTCCAAATACGTTTTTAAACTATTCAAATGATGAAAGTTATTGTTGTTTTTAAGCGTTTATTAGCAAGTGGGAACGACCAACATGGCCGCCATCTATTCAAATGGGGGTAACCGCTGGAATATTTTTGGCTTCAATTTTACTAAAAAAGATGCGCTATCTAGTGTATATAAGATATCTATGATGGTAAGGCTGTTTGGATCATGTCAGCATTGGATATTTACAATTAAGAAAAGTGTGATGTTTCTTTAAAAACATACACTGTCACATAAAAAAGCAAATCAGTAAAAATGGTGATAGCAGTTTTCACTTGAAATCAAGGATAACAATTATTGCCGTTTTAGGTTCATGATTTGCGCTCAGTCACCATCTTTAATGACTCCGTCGAATTGTTTAACATGTGACATGTATGTTGTCAAAACACTGTTTGACATGAGACGAAGCGTACCTTGATATTGAGAACTATCATCCAAACTTTGCTAAATGAAAAAATGTTTTGAATCAGTTCAATTTAATAAATTTTACATCCCCATTAATGAGAAGAAGAATATACTCAAGATCTTACCAGTGAAATGACAGAACCAAATTCTGATCCAACATCGTCATCCTATGGTACAAATCATAAGGGAAAACTAAGTAGATTTATATGAGGTTAAATAGATTTAAGCAAGGTTAACGGCAGATGTATTATGAATGCATGTTGACTTCTGTTTGGGGGACACCCATGATATCACAGCCATCGTTAAGGGGTCTGTGTCGCCTTATAACCAGGGCTCGAATTTCATCGCGGCAATTGCCGTAGAGGGAGAACAAAATGCTGTGGATCATTGTGGCAATGACAGCAATTTTTTGCCGTATAGAGCAATTTTTATACTATTCACTGTGCATTACTATTTTGATACTTGAATTCAGATGATGATCAAATCATGAGTAAATCACTATTTTAGTCTATTTCTTCGAAAAAAAAACACTAAAGAAATACGTAGACATGTTTTGAAAAATGCCGTGGAAACTGTCAAAATGGCTGCAGACAGCTGTTACGTTCTACAGCAATTTTTAATGCCATTGCTGTTGATTGATTTCAGGGAAATTCGAGGCCTGCTTATAATTGTTTGTGGCACCCTGATCAGATCAATTGCCTGCTTTTGCCTTGCCTTTGTTGCAGCAAGTTGTGCTTGTTACCCACATTGAAATTTAAGGTGAAATTTCTGCGCTGCATGGGAATAGGTTCAATTGTTCAAACTTCAGTGCGGAACCTGGTCATAAAACTATAGATATTTTTGTCATTTACTTGGAACAGTTGAAATGCTTCTGAATCAACGACACAAAGATTACAAAATGACGACATACCCAACTAACCTCCATGTATAAAGAACTCAGATACCACCAAATTCCGCCAAAATCACCAGAATGTTATATCACATTGCAACATATTTTCATAAATAAAGACCACTGAATGCAAGAAATAACAAATTATTTCACGTCGAACGTAATATTCAAGAACAAAAACATATCTTAAAAGAACAAATTGAACAAAATGTACATTATTACCTGTCGTTTAAATAACGTATAAAAGTATTCTTTGTGGATATTATTAAAACTTTGTCAAAATAATGTAACCAAGACCGCCATATTGATAAACATCTTTTCGTTTCCAGGGTCTGGCCGGGACGCCAGTTTGACACTGATCTTACTGTTTGCAAGGCAAACTGAACTGCCTTCACGCAATTTATTCACTTCCAAAATTGGCTAGTCTGCATGCCCTTTGTTAACGCATATGAAATTCAATTTGTGTTCATATGAGAAACGAGGCATCTCAGTCAAGTAAGATAAAATTTTTCATATGAAGGCTTTATCCCACCCAATTTTATTTTACAAATTTTGCCATTAAAATTGACAGACATGACACTGGATAGCTGGAATTACCACACAGAGTCGGTTAACGTTAAATTCTCCAGTAACGGGGTTCCAAAACACTCAAAATGTAAATAAACATTGAAAAGTAATACAAACGTTAAAACAAACCAATAAACAAACAGAAGAGCGACAAAAATTAGTGGAAAATTGAACAACAAATTCACAAACAATCTCAGTGCACCGCTGATATGCAAACAAAAGAACACCAGGAATTATTGGCATTCATAATATAAACATTAAAGTGCCTATATCACTAGCTTGTGGGATCTTTACGGATTTTAAAAAAAGCGCAAAAAGTTATTTAACACTGAGTTCTGAATTTCCTTATTTCCTTGTCATATTCTTCTAACTTTCAAAACGTATTCTTTGGCCTATATTTCGTCAGTGTAGCTCTAAATGCCAACATTTTCATGCTCGGCGAAGCTACGGATGTCATCTACGAAAAAACACTTTCAAATTTGATTTTGAAGTCGTTTTGTACGTTTCACCTTCAATTTTACTGATATTCAGCGCAATCGTAGAAACTATTTTCAGTACCAGAGAACGATTTTGAGCTTAATAAAGCGACTTTTCTTGCAAAAATTCTCACTTTAGTAAGTTACAGCGTCAAACTATAATTCCACAGTGTTTGAAAATTGTCATGTTTGAGGGTCAATATCTCGGAAAATACTAAACCAAATCAAAAAAGGTTGAAGAACTTACTAACTAACATTTTGTGCTCTTTCCAAACTCGTAAAGATCCCACAAGTGATATAAGCACTTTAACCTGAAAAGACACTGTTAAATAATACAAGGTGCAATTTGGTTAATTACAGCAAAGAAATGATCCATCCCAAAAATTCGCACAAAAGAAAACAAGACTGAGAAAAAAATTCGTGCAAAGAGGAAACTGAAAGAAATATACCTTTAAAATTACACAAAAATATGCCAGCAAAAGTAGACTGTCGAAAAAAAATCAGATGGCGTGCAAGTTGGAATTCCCGCCACTTTTGACTTTCTTTGATCGGCCCCGCGAAGGTTAAATCGGTTTTCAATAAATATTGTTTTTTTCGGGTTTATCTATTAACCGCGTCACCCTAATTTCTTACTCTGTTATTAATTAATCAGGACCTAGTACCGCATTGTGAGACGTTTCTGAAAACAACAAACATAATTTGCACACTGGCTACTATATTCCCAAAGTACGTTACAAAACCGCTAAAGAAAAATGGTACCTATACATTCTGTTTACAATCTAAATATTAAGTCTCAGTGACTAGTTAACCTTTTATCAGTTCATTGAATACAATCAGCTCGATCTCTTCCATATGTCTTAATTGTAAAAAGCGTTCAAATTAAGACATTGCCTTAATTTTAAACCTAACCCTCACCCAATCCCCACCCTAACCTCTAACCCCTAACCGCTAACCCTAATCTAATCTTAGCCTAACCCTAATCCAATCCAAATCTGGCGAACTTTTTTTTTTAAATTAAGGCTATGCCTTAATTTTTTTGGAGAATTTCAAATTTAAGCCATATCCTTAATTTTCAAAAGTATTTACAATTAAATTAAGACATAGCCTTAATTTTGAGAAGAGATCATGTTGATACAATACATACTTAATTAACTGTTATTTCGCAGACATGACAAAGTGCGAGTCAGACTTATAATGGCATACAAGTTGGCTTTGACAAGTTTTCCTTCACAACTTGTTATTTGCTCGATCGAGGTGTGTACGCAAAAAAATGGACAAATTTTCCACACAAAGGAGCTTTGCCTCATCGGCCAGCTTTTGGACTGAGGAAAATGTGTTCGCATACTGCAGCTGCCCAGAAAAACTTGATTAGTGTGCAAGAAATACTTCTATAGTTTTGAATTCAATGAACTAAAGGTTAACTATTCACTAAGAGTTGATATTTAGATTGTAAAACGAGAATGTATATAGGTATCATTTTTCTTTCATTTTTCTTTCGTTTTGTAAAGTGCATTTTTCACACGCCAAGTTAAACCAAGCGTCATATGTTCGTTTGAGGGGGGGGGGGTTGCAGCTGTGACGTTTCTCTGTAAACATCATGGAAAAATTCGATAGTTTTTCGAAAGCCTTACTAACATTTCGGAATCATCTTTTGCAGAATATAAAAAAAACAACTTGATACAAACATGATACATTCGTAATACCATACCTGTTCTATACGTAGATATATTTATATTATTACGCCTTCTTGCATTGAAAACATTCAAATTTCAAGAAAAAACGCGCTAAAATTATCAATATTTCATAATTAAATTTTTAAATTTTCTAATTTTTTATCTTGTTATTCGGCAGTCAATCTCCGGAAGTTCATACAAAATGTTGGAATCTATTTAGAAAAGAGCGTTAAAGTGCCTATATCATGGTTTAATTTGGAGTTTGCATACCTCGAAAGTTTAGGGTATTTTAAGACACTTTGCAATATATTTTGTTATTGAAAAATTTCATCTTGATGGATTTATTAGCTCTTAAAGTTACCGGACATGACGTCAAAAAGAGAATTGCAAATCAGTTTTCCTTTGTATCATTGCAACAAAACTCTCCTTTTGACGTCATGTCCGGTAATTTTAAGAGCTATTAAATCCATCAAGATGAAATTTTTCAATAACAAAATATATTGCAAAGTTTCTTAAAATACCCTAAACTTTCGAGATATGCAAACTCCAAAACCATGCCTATATCATGGTTTTGGAGTTTGGATATCTCGAAAGTTTAGGGTATTCTAAGACACTTTGAAATATATTTTGTTATTGAAAAATTTCATCTTGATGGATTTAATAATAGCTCTTAAAGTTACCGGACTTGACGTCAAAAGGAGAATTTTGTTGCAATGATACAAAGGAAAACTGATTTGCAATTCTCCTTTTGACGTCATGTCCGGTAACTTTAAGAGCTATTATTAAATCCATCAAGATGAAATTTTTCAATAACAAAATATATTGCAAAGTGTCTTAAAATACCCTAAACTTGCGAGATATGCAAATTCCAAAACCATGATAAAGGCACTTTAATGGAAAGCAGGCAGTTAGTTATCGGCGTGACTCAAGTTTCCAATAAATTGCAGTTTTTATTAAAATTTTCGCGTTTTTAAAATCGTTGCGACGCTTGCGATGCGGTTCTTGCGATAATAGGGAGCTTTAGATTTGACTACGAGTACGACTACGAGTACGAGATTTGATCGCGTGCGAGGAAATTACCGTAGTCGTTTTCGTTTCTATTCAAATGTTGCTTTTATAACAGTAAACCAACAACTAGAGAAAAAGTTTCATAAAGTAAATCTCCTGCCGACTAAAATCCCCTACAAAACGTGTAAATAAGTCATAACATTAAAAACAGGCCAGATATTTAGCACTAATATATTATTTGCGCCGGATAAACGCTATATAAATGCTACAAATTATTTTTGGAAAACAAAAAAAAGTCAACTTTCTTTGTTTTTTTTGAAAAGTCGTCATAAGGACTACGAGGTTTCTCCACAATTTCGTACTCAGATGGGTGACGGCTACGACTTTTTAGCGTCAGTACGGGATGGCGTAAGCATACAGCATGCGTTTAGCTTGACGAATCTCGTACTCGTAGTCGTACTCGTAGTCAAATCTAAAGCTCCCTAATAAGCATGTAGGACGGCAACGCGGCGACGATGGTCAAAACAAATTCCTTCAAATAAATGATAGTAAAGGAAACTTGTCGTATATTATAATTCATATGAATTTAATACAGTATAAGAAGTTGAAAACATGGCCATTATGTTTGGGAAGAGTTCTACTGAACCGAATTTTAAGTTGCACTTGTTACGGCTTGAAATGCAGGCGTTGTATAAAAGACGTGAAAAATTGTGATTTGCCGTTGTAAACAGAGCGACGACTACGTCTGAAACTCCCCTGGGACTTTAATTATTTACTTCTTTTTCTTTGACTCTTTGTATTGGTTGCCGTCGTCGTCGTGTTGCCGTCCTATGCTTAAGCTCCCTAAAGCCTGATTTCCACTAGGCGGAATTTTGCGCGCAGAGCGACAATTTCCGCAGCCACAAAGTTGAAAGCAGTTCAACTTTTTCAGTTTCCGCGCGGAAAATGTCGCTCCGCGCGCAAAATTCCGCCTAGTGGAAATCAGCCTTAATAGAGACCTTACGATTTTACGACGGCAACGGCTAGATTAGATTAGATTTATTAAAATACTTGACTACAATAGATCATTGAAAAGAATTGAGTAAGGGACCGGTCATTATTTATGGTTGGGGGTGGCACCGAAGAGAAATGTTTTTCGTGGCAAAAATTTTGCTGACCCAACCATTAAAAAATCAAAAAATTGATTACCCAACCTCAAGTATCATTTAAAAAATAAATACCCACCCCTGGCCAAAAACGTTACAAAAAGATGTCATTCAGTTGTCACACATGACACAAGTCCTTTACCACTTCTGTGATACGTATGATAACGTTCGGCTTGTGAATGTTTGATAGTTTGACAACGTTCGGCTTGTGAAATTTACTGACTTTTCTGCAGTCTAAAGTTTCATGTTGTCTGTACATTTACTTTCTTTGGAGACACCATTTGTCTCCCAACAAATCGGAAAATGATGAAGATATAGATTGATTCACATATTGTATTGACATATGACTGTTGACATTGAAGTTTTCAGTCTTCAATATTTGAGTGAGTCATGCTTTGGAAATGACAATAGATTTTTATTACCCAACCTTTGAGTTGTTTCGTTTTTCATTTACCCAACATTTTACTCACTCAAAATTTTGTTTACCCAACCCTTTTCTCTTCGGTGCCACCCCCCGCCATAAATAATGACCGGTCCCTAATTACAATAAATGAATAATTTAGACATTGTCCTCGCTCTGTTTACAACGCCAAATCACATATGTTCATGTGTTGGTACAACGGCTGCATTCCAAGCCGCAACAAGTGCAACTTCAAACTGGGTTTAGCAGAACTCTTCCCAACCATAAACTGACCCATGCCTTCAACTTCTAAGACTGTATTAAATTCATACGATTGATAATATACGACGAACTATCGACTACCATTTATTTGAAGGAGTTTGTTTTGGCCGTCGCCGTCGCGGTTGCCGTCAACGCGACGACGACCAAAACAAACTCCTTCAAATAAATGGTAGTATAAAGATAAGTCGTCGTATATTATCAATCGTATGAATTTAATACAGTCTTAGAAGTTGAAGACATGGGTTTTATGGTTGGGAAGAGTTCTCCTGAACCCAGTTTGAAGTTGCACCTGTTGTGGCTTGAAATGCATCCGTTGTATCAAGACGTGAAAATCTGTGATTTGGCGTTGTAAACAGAGCATTGGACAATGTCTAATTTATTCATATATTGTAATTATTCAATTCCTTTCAATGATCGATTTATTGTATTAGTAGCTGTTGCCGTGAAGCCGTCCTAAATCATAAGGTCTCTAATATATCACTAGTTGGCGATTTCGAGTAGATAGATATCGAGAATGTCTATGTTGACAGCAAAACTACTCAAACATTTTCAACTTCGATCAATGGTGGTCAACTCGAGAACATGTACAAAATGGGAACGAGCGATCAGCTTAGCACGTTCAAAATCTTCCGCTACACCTACGGTAGAGCAACACAAATATTCGACGGAACCTCAGATGCAACTCCGCGACATCCCTGGTCCATCGACGATTGAGAACCTTACAATGATTGCTCGGAAAGGATTTCTGAAACAACATGTCTATATGGCAGAAATGTTCGCGCGCTTTGGTCCAATGTTTAGACAGAGCGTGCCAGGTGGACGACATGTTGTGTATATTTCAGACCCAGTCGACATGGAACACGTATTTCGAAGTCAGGAAAACAATAATCCCTACCGTGGCGATATGTTGATAGCCGATTACGCCAGGAAAAGCGGCTTGGACAGAGGGATTAATGGAGACGGTGAATCTTGGTCGGTCTATCGAAAACTAGTAGCGCCTAAGCTCCTTCAGCTTGGAGCACTCAAACCATATTTCACCGAGATTCTGAACGTAGCCGACGATACGGTGGCGAATTTTACCGACGGCAAGAATGTAAACTTACAAGATCATCTCACAAAGTGGGGGGCCGAAAGCGTCGTGGTGGTATTATTCGGCCTTCGCATCGGGACGAGTTATAAATCGATGAACGAGCGAGCAGAGGCTTTTATCGATGCTGTCAATGGCCATTTTTACGCGGAGGCTAAGCTTATATTTAGCGTTCCATTGCACAAGCACTTCGAGACGCCAACCTTGAAACGAGCATATCGTCACGTGGACACGCAGTTGGCAATAATGCGCGAGTTCGCTGCCGAAACAAGAAAGCACGAGACCGAGATCGCCAGAAACTCTCTGTTGACGAAATTGGAGCAACATGATGAACTTTCCGAGGAAAACCTAATGTTTCTTTGTCAAAACTTGCTTATTGCCGCCGTCCATACGACTGCAAGTTCAACCCTTCAGCTTATCGACACACTTTCGAAGCACCCCGAAGTACAACGAAAAGCCTTCGAGGAGATTCGGCTGGTGCTTGGTGACGGGCAACAAGCGCCCTCCTATCAACAGTTATCTGAAATGAAATACCTCCGAGCTTTGATTAAAGAAGGTTTTCGATACAACACTGCCCCACCAGGAAACATTCGTATCACTAAAGCTCCGGTAACCGTCCGAGGCTATCACATCCCGCCAGGAACAACGGTTATTCTTTCAACAATAGCCTCCAAAGAGATGCAAAGACAAAAATACAACGACCCCGAAAAGTTTGCCCCAGAACGATGGCTGCGAAGAACAGACAAAGAGATCCACCCCTTTTCCTCGCTACCATTTAGTTTCGGGAGACGTGCCTGTCTCGGCAGACGAGTCGTCAATATGGAAATGGCTTTACTTGTATTACGAATTTTGCAAAAGTACGAAATTCTTGAGAGGAAAGATCCTGTGAATTGGGTTTGTCATACTGTGGTCGGTCCTGATAAACCTTACAGCTTTTACTTGAAGAAAAGACACTGAATGGACGGAACCAAACATGCATTGCGACTGCTTTAATTTGTACACTAGCTCAAGTAAAACACTTTAGTTATTAAACATTAACCGAATTATTTAAGCATATAATTCGCCTTTGCGTTGCTGTACAAGACAACACAATTTTATCATTGATCTCTCGTGTTGTTTTGGTATAGTATTCACTATTCAATTTTGTGAACATTCCATTTCGTAATTATACTCAATTTCAAAGATAAAAGTCTTGGGCTTGTTTGCATAATTGCATGTTATGCAGAAATATAATTGACAATTGTTTGTGGAAACATCACGTTTGTTGTATCTGTGATTGTATTACTAGCTTTCGATCCGTAAGCTCGCATGGATCTTAAAATTCACTGCAGTACAATTATTATATAGGGTGTCCCAAAAAAACCCAAAGCTATTGAAAGAACGTATTGTTAGAATTTGAATGCCCTAGCACTAATGCACTAGTCAATCGAAAGCCCGGCCCCCCGACCCCCGGGACCGTATGCGGGGATTTTAACATTTCACGGTTGTTAAAATCCCGGCTAAAAAATCTTGTTCAATTGTTAAAATCCCCGGGTTACTGGGCCTAAACATTTGGGTGTTTTTTTTCTTCAAATTTCCGCAGTTTGATAAAAAACATTAATATTTCCATTAAAACTCCAAAGTTAATACTTTACCTGGTTCGTTCTTTAAAAATTTCGTAGCATATTATAAAATTAATACAGGAGAATGGTTCAAATGAAGCCAATGGTTGTCAGATGCTTTGCTCCTTTGTAAAATAATACCGTCTTTAATTACTAAAGTGCGCATAAGGCCATATAAAATAAATTCCTTGATTCTCATCGCTAAATTTTAAAAACACCCAGGAGGCGGGAGGTTTATATTTTATATTTTATGTCAAAATATAAAAAAAAAGTTTAAAATTTAAAAAATTGGACAGGTAGGTCTTTTTATATTTGCCCTTAAATATATTATAGAAGAACGCTATATAAGTGGATAATTGCACATGCGCTAATGAACATGCATAAGGGTCCACACAAATCGTTGTAATAAGGCTATAAGCCCATTTTTTCCTTCAGTATTCCAAGCGTCCCTTAACGTGTTGCAATATTAACGACAAAACAATTTTATATCGCAAAAATTCCAATTCGATTGACTAGTGCACAAGCTGAACGCAAAGATGCGTAAAATATTGACATGGGTGCATATATTAAATATTGACTTATTAAGAAATTAAAATATCTTTGTTAACTATTAAGCGCACGATTTTCCGCTCTTGGGAATTTAAAGCAGCTTCTTTTGTAATTAAAACAGTTTCTTTATGCATAAAATTTACTTATGTCAACTGTATTTTATATTCTCTATTAGTATTAGTACAGTTAAAAAAGTGAAATTTCATGTACATTTCTAATACAAATTACTTGCATCAATAGAAAGCAAAACAAATAAGACATTTAAATGGTTAGCTGGGATTTTCCCGAGTGAAAATGGCTCTGGGGACGAGAATGGGATTTTCCAGAAATTCGTTCCTACTCAGGTAAAATTCTTTCACATCTCACACCGGCCAACTTGCAGATGCTTCGCAAGTTTAAACGTACGAAGGTGTCCTTCAGTAGCATTATATGAATGTTGTGTTCAAGTGAGGCCAAAAGCTACTATTGAAAGTAAAGTCCAGTACTTAGGCGGCAAATTTTAATATAAAAACTATTCAAATATAAAAAGTTATAAAAATATAAAAAGTTTCCTGAATATATATCAGTTAAATGTTTCGCAACGAAAATCTGCCCCTTTGCCCTCTCGTCGCCGATAAACCTTTACTGTATAAGAAAAATGACAGTTACGGATTTCACGAAGTCGAAGAAAATACTGGCTGTTAATGGTGGAGAAAAAACACGATGGTTTGCGGAACGACGTACGACCCCCTATAACTTTCGTCAAGACAGACACAAAGATGTAAAAAGCGCACGCCTTTCAGTTCAAGTCCTCTACGACACTCTGATAGCTCCAATCTCGTTCCCCGAGCCTGCGATCCTCGGGAAGGAACGTGAGGCTCTGGGATAATCCGTTTCAAGGAGGAATCTGATTGGCCGTTGAAATGGAATGCGCAGTTCAATCTTAGCCAGGATTCCTGGCTTCCGGCAACGGATTATCCCAGAGCCTCACGTTCCTTCCCGAGGATCGCAGGCTCGGGGAACGAGATTGTGATAGCTCCTGTTAACGAGTTCTTCCCCAGGTCTCCGCAGCCTGACGATAGTTACAGACTAGTCCCTAGTCCTCTGTGCACGCTTTTGATTTCCATGACGTCAACGAGCGCGAGCCGTCACCTCATTAATATTCAGAAACGCGTAATAGGCGTACTAAGAGGCCTAGGGACTAGGCTGCGATAGTTAACAGACCCTCTATGGGGATGGGGCTTTAGATCGAAAACAGAGAATCTAAATTGCAGTTTGCATTTTGCAAAATGGCTGTTTCCACGTTATACCAATGCTCCAAAACTCGGCTACTAACCTCAGACCTCCTTATCCAAAATTGAATCATCAGGCTGTATTATACCAAGTACAATAATGACATTTTAACAAAATATTACTTACATCTATTTTACTATCTATTGTTTTCGGTGCATGCGCGGTTATATAAACTACGTTACATATTGCTAAAGTATGGCTATAACTACAAGATTATAAATGTCTGTATACGAATATATGAAATCCTTTTACCTACACAACTATAAAAAATGTTCCTTTATTCAATTCCGACGGCATGAAGAATCGAATTTTTAGAAATTTTAAGTGCATATGCTTCACACTGGAACACCACATCTCGGTCTGCTTAATTTGACTTCAAAATCATCCCTTTCTTAGATTTCGCTTGAAGATCTAGGAAAAGCAAAAGAATATATTTGAATATAATTCATGTAACTATTTTTGTAAATAGCTTAGGGCCTGTTTACACGAGTCCAGCCCATAGATATCTTATATACACTAGATAGTGCATCTAATTATTCTGCAATTCAAAAATTGAAGTCGTGATTGCAGGCTCAGGATATTCCCATGAAATGAGAAGACTCGTATGTTTTCTATTTCTCAAACATTAAGTTAAACCTATTCCGAATACATTTTCAAACTATTCAAATAATGAAAGTTGTTGTTGTTTTTTAAGCGTTTATTAGCGAGTGGGAAATTCCAACATGGCCGCCATCTATTCAAATGGGGGTAACCGCTGGAATATTCTTGGCTTCAATTTTACTAAAAGAGATGCGCTATCTAGTGTATATAAGATATC